TTGGGGAGATTCTGGGTGGGTGGTGATTGGGGTGGGGGGGCTCTGGGTGGGTAAAACATTGGGAAGGGGGGGGTGACACTTGAAGGGGGTTCAGGATGGGTGACATTTTGGACAATGGCTCTGGGTGGGTGACATTTTGGGGGTGGCTCTGGGGTGGGTGACACTCTGGGGGGCTCTCAGGGGCTCACCTATGTCCCCCCCCCCTTTTTCCCAGGACTGCATCCCCCAGTACACGCTGGGACACTGGGAGCGCCTAGGTGAGCGGGGCAGGGCTGGGGGTGTCCCCTGTCCCCGGGGGGGGGCTCTGCTGTCCCCAGCTGTCCCCAGAGTGTCCCCAGCTGCCGCCGCTGTCCCCCCAGAGCGCATCCAGCGCTTCCTGAAGGAGCAGGAGCTGCCCCTGAGCCTGATCGGCGCCTCCTACTCCGGGGTCTCCGTCAACGACTGCATCGCCAGCGCCAAGGCGGCCGTGGGGAGGATTTTGGGGTCCCTCCCCGAGGCCTGACCCCCCCCTCATCAATCCCCAACCCCCCCCACCCCGAGGCCGCCAGCGTAGGACAAAATGATTTTTTTTTTAATTGAAAAAAACCCTTTGGAAAGGTGCAGGGAGCGGCTCATAAATAGAATAAATACCCGCGCGCCCATCCGGGGACCCCAGACCCACCGCGGGGGGGGGGGGCAGCGCCGGCCGAGCCCCGTGTCCCCCCCCCACCCCCCGGGAGTGTCCCTGTGTCCCCCTGGGGGTGTCCCGTGTCCCCACGAGGGGTGTCGGTGTCCCTGTCCCCCCCCTGCCAGCCCAGAGTCCACCCCGGGGGGGGGGGGGGGCGGCGATTTGGGGCTCAGGGCGGGGGTGCCACGCTCTGGTTGCCCCCCCTCGCTGTCACCGTCCCCTCGCGCTGTCCCCCGGCTGTCCCCTCTCCTCGGGGCGGGGCCGCGGTGCCGTTGTCGCCGCGGGGAGGTGACAGCGACAATGCCAGCGGCGGCAGGTCCCCGCGGGGGGGGGGCTTGCGCAGCATCTCCTCGCGGAAGCGGCTGGCGGGGGGGGCGCGGGCGCGGGCGCGGGGGTCGCAGCCGATGTCGGCCGTCAGGTTGGTGTAGAGGGGGCGCAGCTCCCGCGCCAGCAGCGCGTAGCTCAGCGAGTTCATCCCGTCCTGCGTCCACGTGCGCTGCGTCCGCACCAGCAGGTCGAACCTGGCGACGCGCCTGGGGTGTCACCGCTGTCCCCTCCGAGCCCCCCGCCCCATCTCCGAGACCCCCGCCCGCCCTGCGGACCTGTGCGGGTTCTCCTCGTTGCCTTTGTCGCTCTTGTGTTTGACCATCTTGTAGTGGCCGATGGAGACGGGCGGGCGGGAGATCTTCATCCCGGCCAGGCGCACCCTGCGGGGACAGCGCGGCGGTGGCAGCGGGGACAGCGACAGCGACAGCCCCGGGGGGGGCAGCGCGCTGGGACAGCCCCCGTGTCCCCAGCGGTGGGGACACGAATGTGGGGACAGCGAGGAGGGAGGGTCACGGTGGCACCCTGAGGGGACAGGGACACCCGCGGGGTGGAAGGGACGGCCAGCACAGGGTGACACCATCACCATGTCACCCTGGGGGCAAGGACACGGGGACATCGCTGTGTCCCTTCCCCCTCAATGTGACAAGACACCCCCCGTGTCTCCCCCACACCCCTTGTGTCCCCCCCCAGGGTGACAGGACACCCCTTCTGTCCCCTCCAGGACAATGTCACACTCTCCATGTCCCCCCCGGGGCACTGTCACACCCCTTGTGTCCCCCCCAGGGTGACAGGACACCTCTTTTGTCCCCTCCAGGACAATGTCACAGCCCCCATGTCCCCCCCAGGGCACTGTCACACCCCTTGTGTCTCCCCCCAGGGTGACAGGACACCAATTTTGTTCCCTCCAGGGCAATGTCACACCCCTCATGTGCCCCTCAGGACAATGTCACACCCCCCATGTCCCCCCCCAGGGCAATGTCACACCCCCCATGTCCCCCCCAGGGTGACAGGACACCTCTTTTGTCCCCTCCAGGGCAATGTCACAGCCCCCATGTCCCCTCCAGGGCAATGTCACACTCCCCATGTCCCCCCCAGGACAATGCCACACCCGCTGTGTCCCCCTCCAAGTGATGTCACGCCCTCTGTGCCCCCCAAGGTGACAGAACACCCCCCGTGTCCCCCCCAGCTCAGTGGGCACACGATGCCACCCGCCAAGTGCCACCCCCCCGTGCCGTGGCAGTGTCCCCAGCTGTCCCCAGGCTGTCCCCAGCCCTACCTGGTGGCGATGTCATCGTCCTCACCCCCCCAGCCCCAGTACTCGTTGGGGAACCCGTTGATCTTCATGTACTGGTCGGGGGTCAGCGCCGAGACCCCCCCGAAATACTGCGGGTAGGGCAGGCTGGGGACACAGGGGACACTGAGCTGGTGTCCCCGGGGTGTCCCCAGGGTGTCCCCGAGGGCGTGGCTCACCTGTAGCCGAATTTGTTCATGGCCACGGAGGCGTGTTTGGGGTTCCAGGGGTCGCAGGTGTACAGGTTGTGGTCGTTCTCGGGGATCAGGTCCACGTCGTGCAGGAACAGGCAGTCCCAGTCCTCGTCCTTCAGGGCCTCCTTCACGCCCACGTTCAGCAGCTTGGCCCGGTTGAACGTGCAGTTCCCGGCCTGGGACACCCCAAAATCTCCTGGGGTCACCCCAAAATCTCCTGGGGTCACCCCAAAATCTCCTGGGGTCACCCCAAAATCTCCTGGGGT